CCCCTTACCATTCCGTAGTCTCATATGGACCCGTATAATATCGTTGTTTGGTACGCTTCCGTTACCCCGTACTACAGGTTGGATGTCATGTTCTACAGTGGCCGGCGCTCTTCCGTGATCTTTCTGGCTTCGTGGATCCCTGCTCACCCGTGGCCCACGCTGCTTAGTGATTGTCCTGGATTTGTGGACTCATTCTCTCACAGTGCTTAGTGGTTGTGTGCTAGCTCCTTTGGTCTCAAGCGCTCCCGTAGTACGACCCTCTTTCGTGGCTGCTAGATATTCCGTGTTCTCAAGTGTTTACGTGGATTCCACAGGCTTTGTATCCATAATCATTCATGGTCGATAGCGTTCCATTTCTGGAACCCTCGCCAATGAGTGATCTTCCGAGCTTTTCTGTCACCTGTGTGCCGCGCACCCCTGTGGTGGCTCCATCTACCGCGTTATCGCGCTATCGTGCAATCACAATGTGGTCATGCTGTCTATGCTATCGTGGCTGCATAGTATATATGTTTTGCCAATGTTATCGCGTTCTACGATGGTTCCGTGTTCCGAGGTGTACAATCTTGGTCTCCAGAAGCGTTTACCCGCGATTTTGTGGCTGGTCGGCCGTTCGGGTAAACGTGTTTTAATGAAGTATCGTCCTCAGTGGCCCGGCGATCTCAGGTTCTACAGTGCTATCGTGCTCAGTGGCTCGGTGATTTCCCGTGGCTGCTTGTTCTCCCATGTATTAGTGGCTGTCCCATCGTTCATGCTATCGTGCTATCTCTTGGTGTCGCGGTTGGTCTGTCGTCCAAGCTTTCGTTATCTGCAGTAGTATCGCGCTCCCCAGTGATCTCCGGTTCTACCCTGGTATCGTGTTTCAATACTCGACAACCTCCCGTTAATGGTCTTCCGCGGCTTCATGTTTGGTCGGTCGACTGTGCTCCGTGTTCTACCGTGGTGCTATCGGAGAATCGCTACGTGTTCTACCGTGGCTTCGAGCGTGCGTGCTCTTTCGTAGCCCGTGCTTTTCAGCATGCTGAGGTGTCTATGGATTTAGTTCCCTTCTGTGGCCCGTACGCTCCCGTCATATTCTTGCCGCTCTGTCCTGTTTATGGCTGCGTGCACTTCCATATTTCACGCTACGTAAAACACTTCGCGGTTTGCATCGCCTAAGGCTTCTATCTTTCGTGCTTCGTGTTGCTCTTCTATCCCATTGTCTACATAGGGTGGGTCGATGTTCCTTCGGGCTTCGTGCTCTTGCTTAGTCACGTGCATCCGCGCTACCTTAAACACAATAGCTGTTCCCATTTTTTTTTATGTACGCTACATATATTGTTGAATAGTTTGCAGAATATCTGAAGGTCGCACACTACGCGCGCAAATACAAAGGAAGATGACACTTTTTCCCGGAGGCAGTGTGGTGTGCAGGGGTGTAAGCCACAATAGTCATATTTTAAAGCTTTCACATTATTATTAATAGTAATACAATTGCTATTTATTATTAAACGCTGATATAATTATTTGTGTACTACTACTACAAATGACTGCAAGCAAAAATATGAAATGGCTTGATAATAGTAATATGAAAAATAATATTGTAGGTTAAATTAGTACAGCAGTACTACGAAGCCTAAAACATCATTATATATCCAATAAGTTCTAAAGTTCGATTGAGGCCGAAATATAAGTCACCAAAGCCTACCCTTTTTGTCAGCAGCTCCTACGACGATATAGTACGTGTGTGCTCATCGGCGCCTTCTACTAATGCTAACTAATGCACACAGACACACACAGGCAGCGCCCTTTGCGTGGCCTTGAGAACCGCAGCTGAAAATGAGAGCAAAATGAAAGTTCGTTAAGTACGATGTGTAGTCCACATACAGTAAGTACAGCACATAATGTCTGTTTTAGCCAATGGGGGCCGCCTTCGCTGCGCTCGGCAGCTTTTTAGCGAATCGACGCCGCCTTCGCTGCGCTCGGCAGCCAGTAGAACGCCCTCATTAGCGTGAGTTTTATTAGCCCTAGCCCGTAACGGACGGACGTACGGACAGACACACGTCAGACTCCACTAGGGGGGTAAGACTAGCCGTTCGCCGCCGCTACGCGGCGGAGTGGCATGGTTTGTTGGAGATGAGGTGGCCGCAACCTTAGTGCTTCTTGGTGTCGCGTGTTTTGAGAGCGTGGTTCACCCCGTAGATCTTGGCATCGTGTATTTAACCACTTGCCTTCCGTAGTCTCGTTCGGCCCCGTATAATATCGTGGTTTGGAACGTTTCCGTTACCCCGTACTACAGGTTGGGTGTTGTTTTCTTCAATGGTCCATGCTCTTTCGTGCTCTTCCCGGCTTCGAGGTTCCTGCTCACCCATGGCCCACGCTGCTCAGCGGTTCTGTCCTCTCTCTTGTGGGTTCATGCTCTTTAGTACGGTCTTTTCGTTAAAGCTAACTGTTTTCCGTTCTCAAACGTTTACGTGGGTTGCACTGGCTTCGTGGTAGATACTATTTCGTTACCATTGGCCTTCCATCGCCGGTGCTCTAACCAAAGGGTGCTATTCCGTGCTTTGGTGCCTCCATGCAGTCGTGGTTCCGTAGCCCGTGCATCGTGATCTCCTGATGAAGTGTCATCGACCGCGGAATCACGCTATCGTGCAATCACGGTGTGGTAATGCTGTCTATGGTATTGTGCTCGCGTAGTGCATCTGCGTTGCCCGTGTTATCGTGTTCTACAATGGCATCGTGCTCCACGGTGTGCAATCATGGCCACCCCACACGTGCCCCCACCCTCTCCCCCCCCTCGTGTTTTTTGTGGCTGGTTCGACGTCCGTTAAATCGTGTTCCCATGTACTACGGTTCTCCGTGGCTCGGTAAGCTCAGGTTCTACACTTGTATCGATCTCCGCGGCTCGAAGATTTTCTGACTATAGCTCCGCGGCTGCGTTCTCCCATGGCATAGTGGCCCAGACCATACTATCTAGTTATCTTGTGGTGTCCCGGTTGATCTGCCGTTTGTGCTTCGTATTTTACCGTGCTTCGTGGTCTACCGTGTTGTATCGTAGGTGATTTCCGTGCTCTGTAGCAGCTACATGTTCTAGCCCGGTTTTAGGTAGAAAGTCTAACAGAGTCCGTGATTCTCAGTGCTTTCATAGATTTACATGTTAATTGCATCGGCCCGCTTCCGTGCTTTGTAGCTCTGTGTTCATATTTGTTTCCCCTCCATCGTACATACTGTTTCTTTCTGCCCTACAAATCCAGTTCGAGAAGCTCGCACCTTCACCTAGGCTCACGCCCTGTCCTAACCTCCCATACAACGCACCTAAACACGAAAGTAATTGTGACCAATGGAAAACGTTTATTTTTAGCCAATCAGTTTTTCTGGTGATTACGCGGATGTTTGTTGCGCTGGCGAGGTTTCCAGCGACGACGGCGGCGATTAATGCGCTCCTGGACAACACGCCGCGGCGGTTGTGGGGGCCCCATAGCGGCGGCAACTAAGGCCAGGCTTTGTTGGCGCGAATCAGTGGCTGGCTTCGGTTCTGGTGTGCGTGGGCGGTGCCAAAACGCCTGGCTGTATGGACCAGAGGCGCACGCGATGCACCTGCGGGCACCCGCTCGAGCCTGGCCCTGTGCGAATGCATCCCATGCTAAGAATTTTTCGCAACAGGCGCACAGCCGGAGCTGCAGCCCGAGACCGTCTGGCTCGAGCGGGGGGTGCACAATGACCGCCTGGCACGTCGAGCACATGGGAGGTAAACGTTCCATTGGAGAAATGTTTTATTAGAAACGTTTTTATTAAATTAGTAATATTATTTTTTAAGTATTAAACTAAGTATTTCAAAGTGTTGAATTACTACTTTGCTAAAATGCGATCCAGTGGTGTCGCCAGGGTCTAAAAAAAATCAACAGCGCCTACGACGATATAATAGTACCGGTGTGCACGTCGGCGAAGCCTACCAATGCGAATTAACCCGCACACACGCAGCGCCCTTTGCGTGAGGTGGCGCTCCAGCGTTAAAAATGGGGGCAAAATGAAATTTGAACGGTGCATTTAAGTACGATGGGTATACCACATATAATATGTACACCACATATTTCAATTTTAGCGAATCGAGGCCGCCTTCGCTGCGCTCGGCAGCGAGTAGAACGCGCGTATTTGCGTTACATTTTAGAACCCTACCCTCGGACGGACTGACAGACGGACGGACAACACACTCCACTAGAGGGGTAAGACTAGCCGTTCGCCGCCGCTACGCGGCGGAGTGGCATGGTTTGTTGGAGATGAGGTGGCCGCAACCTTAGTGCTTCTTGGTGTCGCGTGTTTTGAGAGCGTGGTTCACCCCGTAGATCTCGGCATCGTGTATTTAACCAATTGCGTTTCCGTAGTCTCATTCGGCCCCGTATAATATCGTGGTTTGGAACATTTCCGTTACCCCGTACTACAGGTTGGGTGTTGTTTTCTTCAATGGTCCATGCTCTTTCGTGCTCTTCCCGGCTTCGAGGTTCCTGCTCACCCATGGCCCACGCTGCTCAGCGGTTCTGTCCTCTCTCTTGTGGGTTCATGCGCTTTAGTACGGCCTTTTCGTAAATGCTAACTTTTCTCTGTTCTCAAACGTTTATGTGGGTTGCACTGGCTTCGTGGTAGATACTAT